GGCTCAAGGCGCAACTGCCGTAATAAATCAGGGGGTAGAGCATCATGGTCAATCATAAAATCAGAGCGATACATATCACCCACTCCATCAGTCCAGTACCCACTGCAGCCATCGACCTGGCGATGCAAGGCACCCAGTCCAGACCATGTATCCCACCAGAAGTTAGACGTGCCAGAGAGTACACGCCATCGAATCACAGGCTCAACCACGGCTCGAACATCTAGCATGCGCTTCCATGTGTGCGAATCATCATCAACACACTGCTTGGACATAGGATGGACGCGGCTACAGTACTTAGCCCTCATGAATGCCATCCAAATAGTGTCCTGTGTCCTAAAGTTCCACCAGAGCTTGGCCGAAAAGGACTTAGCCAAAGTCATAAAATCAAGGAAGCCGACCCCACCTTCCCTCGTTGGTTGTGCCAGAGTCTTCCATGATCCCCAATGATAGCGTCGTGTCCCTCCCAAGCCAGACCAAAAAAATCGTGCCATGTTAGACTCCATCTCTCGAATCACTGTCTTGGGAGGAAAGTGTGCAGCGAGCAAGTGTGTCGGGATCGCCTGCAGAACACTCTTAATCGTAATAGCCTTCCCCCCGGAGAAAGATAGCGCCCCATCCACGCACAACACTTGTCTCGCTTCTTCTTCAGAACAGGCTCAAAGTAATGAATGCGCTTCTGACCATGATAAATAGGACAGCCAAGATAAGTGAATGGAAGCACATCCAATGAACACCCGAGAGTATCTCGAACACGCTCCAACACGGGTGCCAACGCCTTAGGGTGTAACATCCTAATCCGTCCAGGTCTACAGCCCCATTCAGACTAAAGTATTTAACTTGGTAATCGTAAAATTTAAAACTTTTCAAACACACTTTATTAATCTCAATAATATTTTTCATAACATATACAGTACGGAGTATTTAACAATATTGCGGAAGCGAATTTAATATTGACATATCATAAATCATTTCAAAACTTGTCACATCCATCCCGACAATCTCGCCGCATCTACCGCCAGGATCACATTAATCTTTCTGTTTACCTGCGTGTAGCAAATAAAACATACTACACGCTCAACATTGAAGCTGAGTAAGCATATCTAATGCATCGAACATCCATATAATTTGAATCTCAATTCATAATTAACCATTTGATATCATGCACACAATACATATTTCAAGCATACATTATTCATGATATTCACAATATTTTATTTTAAGTCATTTCATGATATATTCAATATTAAATATTTCATTAGTGCTCTTAAATTATTCTTAATCTAAGGCCAAATCATTTTTATACAAGCTCTTAGCTATCCCTAGTCTAAGGCAATATTTCTAACGTGGCCCTTAAACTATAAATAGTTTAATGCAGAACACAAGAATCGATAATCCATCCTATGAGTCATGTGGATTACGTACCAACCGAACAGTGAACTGTCGGGTGGGTGATATCCGTTCTGGATCCCGTACGTACGTTTTAACCTCGAAATATGAATTGGTCAAGGAGGTATATCTTAGAGTTTTCTAGATATCCTTAATAATCATCATCAATTTTTCAAGTGGGTATATCTTAGAGTTCTTCTAGATATCCTTAACAATATACATCATTTTCATAATCATCAATATATTCATTTTTTTAATCATAATTTAATCATTCGTAATTATTATTTTAATAATAATATTCATCAAAGTCTAATCATAAACAACATCAATAATAATCATCACAATATCTAATAACAAATAGCGGCCTAGCATCGAGTGTTAACAACTTAGCTTACCGCCATACATGACATAAAATTTTATTTGTCAAAACATCATTTTTATTTTATCACATAAAATTTTATTTGTCAAAACATCATTTTTATTTTGAACAATTATTTTTATATTGATCATAATTGATTGGTATATAAAAAAAAAGGATTTTATAGCTTCAAAAATAGCATTTTTGGGCTTAAAAATGTTCGTAACGGTCGACCGTTGGGTCCGAACGGTCGCCCGTTCCGCTGGAAAATGCAGGAAATTGAAGGTTCACTATTCATCATCTTCAACCTCTAGCCCATTTTTCTCAAGTTCCATTTTTGGTCACCAAACTTCAATTAAACTATATAGAAATGTTCTCCAAGGTTCGTAGATCATTTTAGAGGCATCAATTCGAAGTTTTAACATCAAATTCAAGGTTTATGATTCTTGGTTCTTCACATATGTCAAACACAAAACTCAACCAAACGACCATTTATGAGCGTAGAAACGATCTATACGAACATTCTAGTCACTAGATATATCTACGGGCTTACTTCGAAGTAAAACGATGATTCCGGCGGAAAAATGGCGAAACTTCCGGCGAACACCATGGCTTGCTCCGGCGACGGGAAGCTCTCCGGACA